GGGGAAAGGGGGGGCCCTTTCCTAAAAAAAAAAAAAAAAAAAAAAGTGGTTAAGAACCAGAGTTGGTGTTTTCTGTTCTGTTTTGTTTGTTTTTTTTTTTTGCATCTCTTTTGTGGGCTGTTAAGGTTTCTTGTGGTTTTCAGCTTTGTACCTTCTCCCGTAACTTGGACCTTCTTCAACTTATATATGGCATGGTGGTTCTAAGGCCTGTTATCTAAAACCAGCTGGTAGGCCTTCCTCCTGTGTTCTTCAACTGCTGAAAAAGAGAATTGGTTTATAGCCGCTTAGCCTATGAGTAGACCCTACTCTTATCCCCACTTTGGTTAGGTGTCTATACCTGGCCTTTACTGTGCTGGTGTTAGTCACTTTTCTCATCCCCTGTAACATAATACCTGTCAGAAGCAACTTAAGGGAGGAAAGATTTGTTTTGTCTCAGGATTTCAAAGAGATTTCAGCCCATCATAAGGGGGGAAGGAATAGCAATGGGAGAGTATGGCAGAGACTCCATCTCTGGTGGCGGAACTGGAGACTTCATGTAGCTATGCGCCAGGAAGCAGAGAACTAGACCAGAACCAGGTGTTGGGTGTAGCCTTCAAAGCCTACCCCCAGTAACCTACTTCTGCCGGCCAGGCCCCACCTCCTAAGAGCTCAAACCTGAGCCTTTGGGGGACATTGTAGATTCAAACCATTCAGCTGATGATATTTAGACTGATTGTTGAAGACTGACCAATACAGTAAGATCTGGCTGGTGCTGATACCCTACTACCTACATTACTGTTTGGATAGACTAGAGATAAGAGACCAGATAAGAGATAATAGCAGGTCCCCTCCTTATTCACCATCTGGTGACTAATGGTCATCTGTAATCTAAAAATATAAATGGAAAATCTAGAAACAATTTATATGCCATTCTGAGTAGCATTGTGCAACCTTGCACCATTTTACTCCATCACCTGAGATGTGAATCATTCCTTTTATCCAGGATAGCCAGGCTATTGACACTACTTACCTAAGAGTCATGGCCATCTCAGTTATCAGATTGGCTGTTAAAGTTATTACAATTGTTCTGGTCAAGTAACTCTTGAAAGAATATTTTTAATTATGCTTATAGAATGTATGCTTTTGGGGCTGGAGAAAAGGCCCAGCAGTTAAGAGCACTAACCTTGTTCTTGCTGAGGACCCAGGTTCAGTTCCCAACACCCACATGATGGCTAACTACTGTCTGTAACTCCAGTTCCAGGGGATCCAATGCCTCTTCTGACCTCTGAGGGCAATTGTATGTAACAGGTGCACTTAATACATATCCAGGCAATACACTCATTCACATAAAATAAAAACAATAAAATATTTTTTAAAATATGCATTCAAGGTGAGCGTGGTGGCACAGGCAGAGGCAGGTGGATCTCTGTGAGTTCAAGGCCACCCTGGTCTAAGTAGTGAGTTCCAGGCCAGCTGGGGCGACAGAGAGACCTTATTTCAACCCCCCCCCCCCCAAAAAATGCATTCATTCAAAGCCAGGCATGGTAGTACAAGCCTTTAATCCCAGCACTTGGGAGGCAGAGGCAGGTGTATCTCTTTGAGTTCAAGGTTAACCTGGTCTACAAAGCGAGTTCCAGGTCAGCCAGGCCTACAGGGAGGCCCTGTCTCAAAAATATCCAAAAAACAAAAACAAACCCAAAACATGCATTCAAAACATGCATTCAATATTAGTAGACATTTTTTAAAAATTATTTTTATGTGTATGCATGTATTGTCTGTGTGCAGGTAAGTGCACCCATGTCGTGCAATGCCTGCAGAAGACAGAAGAGGCTGTCGGATCCCCTGGAAATGGAGTTACGGACAGTTGTTAGCTGCCATGTGGGTGCTGGGATTCGAACCCGGGTCTTCTGCAAGAACAGTGTTCTTAACCACTGAGTCATCCCTCCAGCCCCTAGTAGATATATTTTTGTGATTGTTTAGTGAGTCTTACTTTTCTTAGTAATGGTCTCTGAGCGTAAGAGACGTAATACTGCATTTTTTATTACAGTATACTTTTGTTATATACTGTTTTATTATTAATTATTGTCCATCTTTTTCTGTGCCTCATTTATAAACTCTATGGTAAGTCTGTATGCACAGGAAAAGGTATAGTGTATATAGATAGAGGTCTATACTGTCTGTATTTTCAGATATCCATTAGCAGTCACAGTGCAGATCTCAAAGACTCACAGATTACTCCTGTATATACCACTCTTTTGAGAGTTTAATTGTGGAGCTGGATGGATGAGTGGACAGTAGGAAAGGGGGAAAGGTGATTAGAGAAAATTGAGCATGTTTAAGTATGATGAGTGTTTGTGGAGAGGGAGATGTTGAAGAAGTTGTAACAAGGAGTACTGTAATGGTGGTTTCTGATCTGTGAAGACAGGAAAGTAGTTGGTGCATGGTGTAGCACAATTAGCCAGACAGAATGAAGGAAAAGAAACTGAAGAAATCTTTAAAATTTATCTATAAAAGTATAAAGTATTAAAATGCATAAATATTAATTGGGCTTATTTGTTGGGGAGATAGTCATGTCTTTTTTTTTGGTCATTTTGAGACAGGGTCTCCCTTTACCTCCAGCTGGCCTGGAGCTCACAGAGATCCACCTGCCTCTGCCTCCCAAGTGCTGGGATTAAAGGCGTGCGCCACCATGCCTGGCTAGCCATGACTCTTATTTCAGTATGACATAGTAACTCCAGGTTACTGGATGTAGATTATCTTAACCATCAAAAGGGTTATACTGGCCCTTCCATAAAAAGACTGCAGGGCTGAAAAGATGGTTCAGCTGTTCAAAGAACATACTGATTTTCCAGAGAACCCAAGTTCAGTTTTCAGCACCCACATTGGGTGGCTCACAACCACCTGTAACTCCAGCTCTTGGAGGATCCAGTACCTCCAGACTTCTGTGGGCACCTGCACATACTAACCTGTGGGCACCTGCACATACTAACATGCACACACACATATACACATAATTAAACATTTAAAAAATTTAAGAGTACTCGGGGCTGGAGAGATGGCTCAGCGGTTAATAGCACTGACTGCTCTTGCAGAGGACCCAGGTTCGATTCCCAGCACCCACATGGCGGCTATGAACCGTCCTTAACTCCAGTTCTAGGGGAATCTGAAGCTCTCTTCTGACCGCTGCTGCATTGCACGACACGGGTGCACTCACATACAGGCAGGCAATACACTCATATACATAAAATAAAAATAATAAATAAAATTAAAAAAATTTAAGAGTACTATTATATGTTAACATATCAGCCTGCTATTTCTTTTTATTTCCATCTAACAGTTTGTCTTTCTCTTGGTTTTCATAGGCTTTGGTGAAACATGTGCAGTCCAAAGGATATCCAAATGAACGTTTTGAACTTCTCACCAATTTCCCTCGAAGGAAGCTCTCTCACCTGGACTATGACATTACCTTACAAGAGGCTGGCCTTTGTCCTCAAGAGACTGTCTTTGTACAGGAGAGAAATTAACACCATGCCTGACCTCTCTCAGCTTACCCCGTCCCCTTTTCCTGTGAGATACTATGTCACTAAGTATGCATTTTGGCTCATAGGACTATAGAGCCAAAGCAGGGCAAGCAAGTCACCTGCCTTCTCTTTTGTTTCTTGCTCTCATCTGTGATCAGTCTCTATACCTTCTCCTGCTCTCCCTTCTTTCCTCTCATTTTCTCACTTGTTTCTTTCTTACCTAATGTGGTGACCAAATGGAAGGATAAGGATAAGATCTTTCCTAGCACTGGTAGCAGGAAGTATGCTCATTAGACATCTCTTGATGGCACTTTTGGGATCCAGTGATGTTACTCCTCAGACTTCTACAAAAAAAATGGCTAGATTCAGAGTGAAAAACAACCCCTCTTTTTATAAGTTCCCATTTTTGGTAGGGAGAAGAAATTATTTTAACATACATTTTGTTATTCTTGTAGGAAGATCTCAGAACAAGATATCCAGGTTTTGTTCATGTGGAAAAGGCATTCTTTATACTGTTGCTCATCATATTTAAAAATTTCCCAAAGGATTCCTAGCTTCTAGTTACAAGAGTGATTTCCATGATGTGTGTTCTTGGCAGAATGAGTGCTCAGTATAGTATATGTAGCACAGGGTGGCTTTCTATGTCCTAGCCTGAGACAATTTCCTTTATTATTATGCTATTAATTACATTCATCTCTCTAGTCTTAGGATAGATCTCTAGTGAGCATATTATAACTAGGCTAGGAAGGTGCTTGCTGTTTGGCCTGCGCAGTATATTAGTTCCTTTGACTCCATTGTCAGTCCATAGTGATCTGTAGGGAGGCAGGTGTTTAATAATCATTGCAGTACAATGCTTGTAATTGTAACCACTGTGCTTATTGTTTGTCCTATGTGCTTAAGGCATACTTATGTATGTCCTGGGGGAGGAGAAAAACCTGCGGCTGAGAGTTGCTAGCCATGCTCTTTTGGTTAAAAATAGTGATTCGGTTTTTTACCCCTGGTTGGAATAATCTCTAAAATACTCTGGTGACTGATTGACTTTAAATCCTCGTACTGTTTTATTTTGGAAAATATCAAAACTGAAAGTCTCTGAGACTTAAACTCAGTTCATAAGACAAAGTTAGTAAAGGGATTATGGAGATTACCAGTAACAGTCAGAGGTTGTGAGTTTTTTCTGCCAACAAAAGCCACATTCAAATTGTATTTGGTGACAGCTTTCTTCAGTGTTATTTAGAAGAGAGCATCTTGAATCTGTGTAATCCTGTTTACTTACCAGCTTCACTGTGTGCTCAACTCTTCCCTTGAACTTTAAATAGGGTCCTCTTAACAGGGCAGTAGTGATTTGGTGGCAAAATCAGAACTTTAAAATGGTTATAAAACCATTAATATAGAATCACCTATTTTGTCAGTTGGTGTTTAAGATTGATTGTTTTACTTGAGGAACATAAATTACTATTGCTCAGAGACCTTTGGGTTCCCGTGTACTTGAAGATTTCTTTCTTGTCAACTAGGGGATTAAAGAGAGAAACTTAAAAAGATGTGTGTTGCTAGTACCCAACTATAGAATATGGTTGCTAATGGTTGGATTTTGAGGGGCCTTCCCTAAAGAATGGGTTATGTATCTCTTCAAGGAAATCGTGGGAAATTCTGTTATTCTTCAGTGAGTCCTTTTGAATTAATGTTCTCACATTTTTTTCTAAGTCTGTGTAAGTGCTTATGTATAAGTATATAATTGTATAAATATTTATAAATATATTTATATAATTACAATTTCATTTATACCTTGAGTCAAAGTTCTCTCTTTAGATTGGTGACTGAACAATACCACTTTGAAGGCTTAGCTAGCATCTGATAGATTGAGTAAACATGTTAATTCCTCTGTTCTGTCTCTCAACTTGGATTAAAAAAACTTACTGTCTGAGGAATAGAGCTGTACACCCTCAAAGGTACAGTGGAAGGTAAAAATCACTTGGTAATAGTCAAGGTCAGAAGTCTAAAACTATAGGGAGACACAGAGTAAGAAGCGAGGGAGTGCTCAGCTTTGCTGTGCTGGCACCCATCTCCACTCCCAGCACAGGCCCAGCTAAAACCCAAATCAATCAGAAATACAAAGTCAAAAGTTTTCCCCTTTAGGACTCTTTCCCCCTCTTGCCCTACTAGGTTTTCTTCATGTAATAAAACTACCTTGAGAACCTGATGCAGGGTGTTCATAGATGAGAGGATATAGGATGTGTGTAGTTCTTTTTGATATGCTCAGCACTGGCAAATCCATTATGAGAAACCAAAGTGACTTTTTCAACTCGAGTTACTATAAGATAACCAAGTATCTGTATGAGTTAAGAGACAGGGCACTATACATTTTTCAGACTTAAATACAGTCAGGATGATGAGAGTACAAGATGTAGAGGATTTTACTTTATTCTGAACAGGAGTGTGGTTATCAGTGTCAGTAAGGGAGGCCCGGGAGGAAGAGTTATGGCTCGTACATGAGAGAAACAGGAGTGTTGCCTTGCTTTCAAGGGAGTTTTCATTGGACAGATTAAATGACGCCAGTGAGGTTAGTTCAAAATAGTTATTCCCTATATGTAGTAGAAACAGCTTGAAAGTTTAAAAAGTAATCAGCAAATGATAAAAGAACACCTCGAGAGTGACCAATACAGAAAGGGAATGAAAACTAGTGAAAATAGCCAGGTGTGGTGGTGCATGCCTTTAGTCCCTGCACTTGGAAGGCAGAAGCAGGTGGATCTCTGTGAATTCAAGGCTAGCTGGGCTCCAGCGAGACCCTGCCTCAAAAAAACAAAAAACAAAAAAAACCCAAAAAGAAAAAAGAGAAGAGAAGAAAGAGAATGACAAAGAAAGAGAGAGAGAAAAAAACTAGTGAAAATAAAAGGGAGAAAAATACTTCTCATATCTGAGAAGAGAACAGTGCCAGATGAGGGAGGAGCAGGGCTAATTTTGAGTAGCTGGCATATGTTTGTGCTTTTCGAATTCTCTCCTACATTCTTCATATGCCCTTTGTACTCCCTATGTGTACCCCGTGTATACTCGTTTAATAAATGAGGGAGAAAACTGAAATTCATAGAGCTTTTTCAGGATTTCATTACTAGTAAGGTCCAAAAATTGGAATCTATAGCTTGTTCTCTACACTTCTGTGGTGTGTTCTACATCACCGGAATCAGTTTGCCCACAGGCCATCTTCTTTCCTTAAAACTGGAGGGAGTAGTTTCCGTAAAGTTTGTGGGATTTGCCTGTCCCTATAAAAATCTTATGCCATTATTTTTAAAAGAGAGTTGTTACTTTAAAAAAATAATGCACTAATGAAAGTGTAAAAGGAAAATAACTGGCATTAAAGAAAAGAAAGTTATCTTTTCTGATAGATTATTGAACTGAACCTTTGTACTTCTAAATCTTTATAAATCTTTAATTTGTTAGTGACTTTGTTAGTGATCTGTGGAGGTCCTAGTCAAAGTTGGAAATATTTTGAAAGCCAAGATCTGGTTCTTGACTGTTTTATCCAATTAAGAGGCATACTATATATATGGATAATTGGAAGAAAGTAAATGTTTACCTTTTCAGGATTGAACTATATCTACAATAGAAATTTAAGAAATGAATTGTGTAGTTGTAGTTAGGAATGTCTTTACAAAGAAGGATGGAAAGGTGGCAAACGTTGTAGCTCAAATACTTTTGACTCATCTTTAACTCCACCTTTGTAACTACCACATTTTAGGATATGAAATTGATCAGTTAGATAAAACCATCTTCCAAGTAGTAAAGAATTATTGAACTCTGGTACTAAAAACCCTTTATTAGCGTGAGTCTCACTTGAACACTTAAGGAAAACACCAGAGTGAGCCACCAGCAACTGATAAATGAAGGAGCCTTTAATTTTCTGTCAGGTATGAATTTATGGTATTTATAGTGGTGCGAAGAAGGGGCACTGGGCAGGTTTAGGTGCACTTGGGTAACAGCTTTTCTACCAATTGTTATCTTGGCAAGTCTCTGTCTACCTCTGAATGTTGAATTCCGTGTTTGAAAAACAGAAAGAATTGGACTTGATTAGTAATTCTCAGTCTTTTCAAGTAAAAGGACTTAAATTTTTAAGTTTTGGCATGAGTGGGGAGTAGTAAACGTAACTATTAAAATATATATAAATATATATTTAAATATATAATTAATTCCATAGAGAAAATGTAAATATACACCTGGAATTGCGTAGCCCCTACAGAAACATTTGAGACCACTGAAATCCTTTTCCACTTCAAAATTTTGTGTTTCTAGTCTCTCCCCTTTATTATATATCATCTTCAGGCTAATTAAAAAATGTACTTGTTAATCATTTCCTTTGATTTTTTTTTCTGTGTCTGTATCATTTGCCCAATCACTTAAACTCACTGTATGATTGCAATCCCCCAAAGCAGAGTGTAATAGTTATAGATCTATGATGATCTTTTAAACAGTCCATTAATTTTTAAAAACTTAGTGCTGTGTGCCTAATAAGTTTTATTAATGACTAAAATGTAATTACTGGAAACCAAATATGTCACTGACACTGTAATTGAATATTGTGTGCTTTAATCTAAGTACTGGTCCAGCAGTTGTGAAATCTATTTGTGTAAGTTGTGGAATTCACACTTGGTTTGGGGCGATGCAACTTTTTAAGATTCCCATCAAGCTGATGTTTAAAAACAGTTTTTATGCTGTAGATATTTTTATTGTGTTTTACACACCCTTTTCGGGATCTTAATTACTTAATAGTAAATTATGGAGTATAAATTTATAAATAAATACTGTCTTGTAAGCCAGATATGGTGGTGCATACTCTTAATCCCAGCACTCTGGAAGCAGAGGCAGGAGGATCTTTGTGAGTCTGGAGCCAGCCTGGCCTACTTAGTAAATTCCAAGCCAGTCAGGGCTACATAGTGAGACCCTGTCTGAAAAAAAGACGATAGTGGCTTGTGTAAAACTAAAACTTGAAATGAGGGCAGGAAGAAACAGCCCTTCTGATGAACATGGCAGTTTTCTAATAGTAGAAGCCTTAGTAAGTAGGCTACTTGTAGGTAAGCACGCCTACTCCGAGTTACATCCCCAGTCCTTGAATAGGATACTTTAAAGGCACCTGTGAACAATGAATATTCCACTCATTGGTTTGTCTTATGTAACATTTCAGTAGTCTTACCATGAAACTTAGACTTACATATTGCACATTTTAGAATGGGGCAAGAATGTGCTTTAGAACTGAAAATAACCAAAGAATACCCATTCCAATGTACTGGTTTTTCCTATAATACAGAGATTTAGTATTTCAGTGATGGTTATTTGGATTTTAGAATCACCTTTTGTCCTGTTAGATACAGCTTAGAATTAAGAGGGGCTTTGTTTGTGTTCCTTTTTAAGAATGGAGATTATCATAGCCTCCTTTCAGAGGCTAGATTATTGGATGTAATGAAATTCTTTTTTTTTTTTTTTTTTTTTTTTTTTTTTTTTTTGGTCTTTTTGAGACAGGGTCTCCCTGTAGCCCTAGCTGGCCTAGATTAGCTATGGAGACCAGGCTGGCCTCGAATGCACAGAAATCCGCCTGCCTCTGCCTCCTGACTGCTGGGATTAAAGGTGTGCACCACCAAGCCTGGCTGGATGTAATGAAATTCTTAACAGAACCACCTTTAATTCTTCTCCATTCTCTGTTTTGTTTTATTTTGTTTTTGAGACAATCTCTTGTAGCCCAAGAGGACCTCAGACTGGCTGTGTAGTCAAGCATGACCTTGAACTCTAGATTCTGGCTCCACCCCAAAGTGCTGGGATGGTACAAGCCACCATGGCTGGCTCTTCTGCATTCTTTACAGAATTTCTCCAGAAATTAGTCATGATTTTTAATACGCTTGTTTTTAAAGCACATCTTTTTTATGGCTCATTTCCTCTCTAAGGAGAATTCTTATTCCAAATAGAGTGGCTAGCTCTGTGATACCCACCACCACCATCCCTGGGGTTTTGTTTTGTGTCTTTGTTTGCTTACAGTTTCTATTGAATTTCTTAAATCTCAGCCATTCTCAATCTTCTTTTTTTTTTTTAAGATGGGGACGGGTTGGGGTGGGAGTGGAGGAGGTCAGTCTTAGTAGCAGGCTGGCCAGTAACTCGCTATGTAGCCTAGGCTGGCCAGTAACTCACTATGTAGCCTAGGCTGGCCTTGAGCTCTTGGCAGTTCTACTGGAATTATAGGTGTGAGCTATACCTGGCCCAACATGATTAATTTTGACGATGCTTGTTTTTGTTACTCTTTTGTTTTTATTTTGAGACAGAGTCTCACTGTGTATCCCTGGCTGGCACTGACCATGTTTCTAATATGTTTCTGCCATGTAATCCGAAAGTGAAGGTGGGAATTCTAAATGAACTACTTTATGAAACATAATGAAGTACTTTTGAAAGATAGCCAGACTTGCTCATTTAATTAAACATGTGAATGCCAATGGTAGTGTTTTGCCTAAGAATAATCACAGCCTCTAAATATGGGAGATTACACTGCTGTACTTAATTCTGTGGCGATGAGCAGATTTTTGCTGTTGAATGGCATTTCCTCTAGCAATCAAATTTTACTAAGGCCTTCTATGCCACACCTAAGATCACTTAGGTTTTCAAGTAGGAAGACTAGTCAAGCTAGGCTGGTAATACATAAAGACCTATCTATCAATAAAGAAGTTATGGGCTGAGCTGTAGCTCAGTGGTAAAACATTTGCTTTGCAAGCTCAAGGCCCTGGGTCAGATCCCCAGCATTAACCCCCCACCCCAAAAGTTTTTAACCTAATTGGGGTACCAAGAGTCATTTATTGGTCATTTAGAAATGAGAACTGTTTTAAATTGGGCAAGTTCTGACCTGAAATTGAATTTCCTTCTCATAAAATCCCTTATACTTGCTTTATTTTATGACCTCATATGGAATCTTAACTGATACGGTTCTTGATCAGGAACTATTCACTACCATTATTATTTTTGCTGTGTGAAGGTAACTGACTTTACAGTTTGTATCATTAGAATGACATTAGAATATATTCATTTGGATACCTTGTTTTCAAAAAAAAATTACAAAATGCTTTTTTCAAAGCTACTGTGTTCTTAATAATGCAAATATCAGAAATATTAAGCTGGTTGTGGTGGCGCATGCCGGCAGTATATGCTGAAGAGGCAGAGGCAGGAGGCCAGCTTGGACTACACATTTTGCCGGGTGTAGTCGCACACACCTTTAATCCCAGCACTTGGGAGACTGAGGCAGATAGATCACGCTGAGTTCAAGGCCAGCCTGGTCCACATAGTGAGTTCCAGGCCAGCTGGGGCTGCAGGAAGACCCTGTCTCAAAAAGGCCAAAAGAAACATAAGTGATCTGATCAAAATAAGTAGACTTACGATACTAATCATATGCTCTTAACTTTGATTAACTTATTGCCCTGTAAATTAATCCTCTCTTAGAGTAACTGTTGCCTCCAGAGAATGCCTTACTTTACTGGCTCATTAGAGAAAGTAGCATGTGACCTCCACTTTTCATTAGTAACAAGCCTGTAGTAGGAACCACTTACCTTCCTATTTAGAGGCTTGGGCCTAATTTTCCTAGGTCTGTCCCTCCAGTTTGCTACTTATAGTATGTAAGAAACAGAGTAAAGCTGTGAGGTAGCCTTGAGCCTCAGATGCAGAGAAGTGAGTACCATTTGATACTGACATAATATGCGGACTTTGAAGGGCCAAGTTTTGGCATGAATTTTTAGACACAAGTTTTACGCTCCTCTGAGAATCTT